TCATTATTTATTGAGTTATAGTCAAGGTATTCATTTCATTATTTATTGAGTTATAGTCGAGGTATTTATTTCATTATTTATTGAGTTATAGTGCAGGTATTCATTTCATTATTTATTGAGTTATAGTCAAGGTATTCATTTCATTATTTATTGAGTTACAGTCGAGGTATTTATTTCATTATTTATTGAGTTATAGTGCGAGGTATTCATTTCATTATTTATTGAGTTATAGTCGAGGTATTCATTTCATTATTTATTGAAATGATTATAGTCAACCTAAGATATTTGTGACTCGGGGTAGGACTGGGTAACGATGACCAAATTGAGATCAATAATCGACATCAGACTATCAATCAATAGTCGAATAATAATTGAGAGAGACATCTCTGCTCTTGACTGTACCCTATCTGACTGGTTTATTTTCCTCTTTATTTCTATTTTTTATTAAAATTGTTTGTTTTAGAAAGAAGAAGAAGATGAACTAGAGAAAGTTTTAGAAATGAGCCTTCAAGATGAACGACAGAAACACAATTCAATAGGTAACTTTATTTTACTCTAAATTTCCAGTATACCTCAAAATAATACATTCATATTTTTAAACCCCTGTTAATGATGTAGGTAAGAGGGGCTGACATGAAAAAAACCTCTAGTCGTTCGAATGGGACAATAAACCGAGGCTCTGTGTGCTAAAGGCTGTGCATGTTAAAGATCCCTCTAAAGTTGGAAATCGAAAAAAGAGTAGGCTAATGCCGCTGTTGTGGCAAAATTTCCCTCATTGCACACTGCATGGCGTTGACTATCTTAATTAACCCAATAAGGTGTAGAAGAGTAGTTGTAAAACTCCATTTATTTCAGTTCTGTTTCTTTTTTAAAAATCAAACAAATTGATTGGATTATTCTTGCATTCCTAATAACTAATAATGAACGAAATTTCTACAGATTTAGAGGAAGGTGATAAAGAATTGGCTAAACTAACGGAAGATGAAAGAATTGATCTGGCAATACAGCAGAGTTTATTACAAGCCGAACGTGACTTAATGTATCAGGATGAATCATTTCAATCTAACTCTAGTCAGGACGGTAAGTTCGTATTATTATATACTAAAAGGCTTGAAATATAAAGGATTTACGAGACTTTGGAGTCAAACCATTGGTTAAAATTGCATGTTCAGGATTCATAATATGAATTGTAGTAGGGCTGCAACGATTCACCGATGAATCGATGAACCGCCATTCTTTCCTTCTTATTGATGCATTGCATTGGATAAAAATAATTGTGATGTAATGGCACGATTAATTCTTACCCCCCTATAATAACAAATTACCTTCCATTTTTAATTAACTCTTTTAAATCAAATTCAGTTTAATTAAGAAGATACATAGATATAAATAGTATATTTTAGAAGTAGTTTAGCTATATAATGAATATTTGCAGGATTCCTCTATTAAGTGTTGTTAATTAAAATAACATAAGGTTGGATTTTTGTGAAATTTTATTGTAATATAGAGTGGTGTTTCCTGTTCTATTTCACAATAAATTAACAAGTTTTTAAACCAAACTGAGAAAATTCATTAAAAATATCATCAAATTTTCCTACTAATGACAGAAGAAATTATGTTTGATGATATATTCTAAATTATTTTTTCAGTTGATTTACGATGTCAAGAAGACAAAGAAAATTTGTTTGGTGAAAAAGATAATTTTTTGTTGTCGGCAGAAAATGGTGCTCATCAACCTTCAGACTACTGTAGTGAGAAATTTTATACAGAGGTAAAATATCTAACCGTGAAAACCTATCAGCCTATCTGGTTTTATCCCAGTTATAACCATAATATTATAATGATACAGTTCGGAAGGTCGAAGATGTTTGCACAATGATAAGAGAAAGTAGAAAGATATATCTTGAATGAAATAACCCACAAAAAATAAAAACATTAAAAATTTTTGGTTAACCATCTTAGAAGATTTTGTCCTTTTTTAAACAGAATAATTGGAGTTGTAGTAATTTTCGATTAGTTAGTATAGTTAATCATATTGGGTCATCGTCTGAAACAGGTTAGTGAATCTTATTATTACTATACTGTATTCTTCTTGGCCCTGTGTACTACACACACAAACTACTTACAAACTCTATCTTCATCTCTGAAAAGTGGTCGGGAGCCAAGGTGGCTCACTGATTTAGACGCTTGCTCGCTAAAATGAACATCAAGAGTTCAATCCTGACATAGGTTGAGATAATACCTTCAGATGTTTCAACCCAGTTTCCCCTGTCAGTGAGTTAGACGCTTGCTCGCTAACCAGAAGGTCCAGAGTTCAATCCCGTCATAGGTCAAGATAATGCCTTTGGATTTTTCAACCCGGTTTCCCCCTGTCAGTGATGCAGGTAAGCGGGGCTGAGATGAAAAAGCGTCTAGTCGTTCAGATTATAATATGATGACTCAGATGTTGGACATGGACCCACGTTCAGGATGTGTACAGGTCAGGAAAAATCTGAAGATTTGGAAAAAAAATCTGCATTCAATGCGTATAAATTAATTAGTTCATGCTCTAACTTGGGGATTTTCTGTAAAGATATAATCCTGATAAGCTGTCATTCTATTTAGTATGTATCATATTTCATACTGTTTATTGTTCCACATAGAGAGTAATGTTACAGTAGAAACAACTGCTATGGTAACAGCCTCTTCATAAATATTGTTAAATAATGAACAATCAACAGTCTGACTGGCTATGCGACGAGTGATCGCTAGTTATCAGTGACTAGTTGTTTCGTTCATGGTTGAACTGTTCAGACTGATTAATTTGACTCACATTGCGTGGTTGAACTGTTCAGACTGATTAATTTGACTCACATTGCGGGGTTGAACTCTTCAGACTGATTAATTTGACTCACATTGTGGGGTTGAACTCTTCAGACTGATTAATTTGACTCACATTGAGGGGTTGAACTGTTCAGACTGATTAATTTGACTCACATTGAGGGGTTGAACTCTTCAGACTGATTAATTTGACTCACATTGAGGGGTTGAACTGTTCAGACTGATTAATTTGACTCACATTGAAGGGTTGAACTCTTCAGACTGATTAATTTGACTCACATTGAGGGGTTGAACTGTTCAGACTGATTAATTTGACTCACATTGAGGGGTTGAACTCTTCAGACTGATTAATTTGACTCACATTGAGGGGTTGAACTGTTCAGACTGATTAATTTGACTCACATTGAAGGGTTGAACTGTTCAGACTGATTAATTTGACTCACATTGAGGGGTTGAACTCTTCAGACTGATTAATTTGACTCACATTGAGGGGTTGAACTCTTCAGACTGATTAATTTGACTCACATTGAGGGGTTGAACTCTTCAGACTGATTAATTTGACTCACATTGAGGGGTTGAACTCTTCAGACTGATTAATTTGACTCACATTGAGGGGTTGAACTCTTCAGACTGATTAATTTGACTCACATTACGGGTTGAACTCTTCAGACTGATTAATTTGACTCACATTGAGGGGTTGAACTCTTCAGACTGATTAATTTGACTCACATTGCGGGGTTGAACTCTTCAGACTGATTAATTTGACTCACATTGCGGGGTTGAACTCTTCAGACTGATTAATTTGACTGACATTGAGGGGTTGAACTGTTCAGACTGATTAATTTGACTCACATTGAGGGGTTGAACTCTTCAGACTGATTAATTTGACTCACATTGAAGGGTTGAACTGTTCAGACTGATTAATTTGACTCACATTACGGGGATCTATGTTTATTTTATTAGGTCATTATATTAGTGACGTGTTTGACATCAAGAAGAAATCATGGATGAGTTTCGATGACTCAAGAGTTACAACTCTAACTGAAAGTGAAGTTTGTGAAAAACGAGAGAAAACTGGCTATATATTCTTTTATATGAACATGTAGGTATTCTTTACTTTTCAAATTATTTCATTTCATAAGTCAATGAGTTACAGAACAGTAGGATATAAAACTCTTTCATTTCATTAGTCCAATAAGATACAGAACAGTAAGATGTAAAATTTCATTTCATTAGTCCAATAAGATACAGAACAGTAGGATATAAAACTCTAATTCATTTCATTAGTACAATAAGATACAGAACAGTAGGATATAAAACTCTATTTCATTTCATTAGTCCAATAAGATACAGAACAGTAGGATATAAAACTCCATTTCATTTCATTAGTCCAATAAGATATAGAACAGTAGGATATAAAACTCCATTTCATTTCATTAGTCCAATAAAATACAGAACAGTAGGATAGAAAACTCTGTTTCATTTCATTAGT